ATATAACAATATTATATTTTAAAACATATAGAAAATTTCACCTATTTTCTTTGAGAGTTTGATAAAAAAAAAATATTTGAGCACAATCCTAATAGAGTTATATTAAATACGAATTTAGTGTCAGTGCACCTTAAAAGCAAGCGTAAAATGCGATGATGTAGTTGACGTTTTAACAGTATGCAGCTATATAATGTTCTCGGTCTCGGTTTAAGTCCCGGTTTGATGAACAGAAGCAAGTGCAAGCATTTGAATAACTTGTTTCCAAATGCAGTCTGCATTTGCATTAGAGATAAACAAAAAGCCAACCAAAAGACAACCAACTCAGATGACCGCCTATGGTATGGCGAAGCACAAGCAAATCGATACGCAAAAATTATTGACGTTTCGGCAGTGTCTGCGTTTGCGTCTACGTACGCGTCTGCGTCTGCGTCGCTGTCGCCGTCGTTGGCAGACGGCAGCGGCAGACGGCATAGCTGTTAACCAAACTTCGCTGGCATCAGTTGGCTCAGAAGCTTGCGGACCTCGCTAGCCAACGGTCCTGTTTCTAATAAGCGCGCGAAGGCCAAGCGATATCGACATTGCGAGAATCAAGCCAGAACCAGGCGAGAAAATATTCTGAGTCGTCTGCCCGCCCAGGTGAATGCCATCGGGCAACGTGCGTCGCATGTTAAAGCCAGACGCGCTTCGTTTGTGTGGTTTATATACTATATTGTAACATTTATATATGGTCTGCAATTCCCGCTGAGTTGAAACGAAAACAAAATAGTAAAAATAAGTACATAAATAATAAAAAATAAAACAAAAAAAAAATAATAATAAAAAAAAAAAACAAATTATTTTGCTGGCAAAATGTTTGCAGTTTTGCGGATTTTATTACTTTCTGTGCATTTGTTGCATTTTAAAACGACATTAGCCGAGGATGTGCCATCGATAAGACCAACAGCAGCAACAACAACAACAACATTATCGGATCAAATTCTACACACAAAGGCTGTTGAGTCCCTAGCCGCGTCCAATGCCACATTCGAACGAGACTTTAATGGCCACGAGGATGGTGAGTAACGCTCACGAAATTCGGAATCGAGATATAAAGAATTCCTCAACGAAAATTATTTTAGGCTGGTCGGCAATTCTTTAGTTATTATTTTTTATCATGAATAAAAACCTAATTCAGATATAACTTTTTATTTAAGTTACAAAAAAATGGATCTAAACGATTACATGCCAGAGATACGAACAAAAGACTTAGACAACAAACTTGCGAGCAGTTTATTAATAATTATGCTTTATGTCAATAAATAATCATTATTGGCTGGCTCAACTAAAACCAATGAAAAATATTGTCTTAGGCCTCAAAATATTGTCTGTCTTCAATCTAGAGTTTATTTTCCAATTTATTTTGAGGAAATATAAAAAGACTTAGGCAACAAACTTGCAACATAATAAACACGAAAATTTAATCTATAAAATCTGTTAAGCTATAAATTGCCTAATAAATTAAAGAAATTTTTTATACTCAATAAATTATTAATGATACAAGATCCTTAATTCGAACAAGAAGGTTCGAACCAGAAATGCAACACTAATTGACAATTAAAAAAAAGACAAAAAAAATAAGAAAAGCTCTAAAAAAATCCGAAAAAAAATCAACAAAAAAAACAAAAACTCCTACGTCGAAATCAACTTAACTCACATGTAATTAAAATTAAAATACGAGTATCCAATAACAATTTTCGTGAGATACACAAAGCAATTTCCAAAAGTATTTTTAACAATAATTAACATATGACAGATAAGGCAATGCAGATTTTTTCGAAGCAAAAAGAATTAAAATAGATTTGCTAATATATAAACTAGTTTATTGCAAAGTCATTTTAAGTAAGGAATAAATATGTCAGACTTCGTTTTTACTTTTGTTTGCATTACATCCCATTAAATACTAGATATAAGTAATGTATAAAAGTTCAACGACTTTTTGCTATGTCCGATAAATTTATGCTAAGCACGCAGCGGTATATTGTTTTTTGTGACCTTCAGAAATCTATAAATTGCCCAGTGAAAATAAAAAGAGAATTCGGAGCTTGTGAACTACTCTTGATGGCGTGCGTCTCTCAGCTGCGGCCCTTAGAGCCAGCCAGACTATAAAAGACGCCAACTTTCTATTCTCACTTCCGATCTTAACGCAAAGAATTGTCGCAGTGGAGGCGAATTCGGTATAGAGCTTTCAAATTTGTTGTACTTATACGAAATTGATGGGCTTGTCGCATGTACCCGTCCCCTTTTATTTATGACCAACAAAAGAGGCGTGATATTTGCTCATGTTGCGCTCTGAAAACATCGCGACCATTTAAGCCTATTAATGCTGATCTCTTTTCTTTTTTTTCTTTTTTATTTAACGATCATTCTATTCTTATTGTAAT